ATTGCACATTCTTAAAAACTTTTTTTTTGTAACTCCAATATCAATAGCTCTTGTATTCGACTATATCTTAATACATAATAGTACATAGTAATTTTATGTACCAGTGCTTTCATTGTTTAACTATATACAGATGTATAAGTTCAGCTAGTAGAGTTACAATTTCAGTCGACGGATAATGTGATGGTCTCTCACACTCCATGTCTCACGAGTTCTCTTTCTTGGTGTGTAGCTCCCCTAAAAATCAAATGAAGACATATTTAATTAATTTATTTCGTTAATCTTGTTAGCCAATATTATTAGAAATATTAATCATAAACAGTTTTGTAATAAAGTTAAAAATAGGAGTAAACTTAATTTCATTGCAAATATTTGATATAGTTTTCAATGGACTTAATTATTATACTATTTTTAATTTAATTTGTAAAAGCACATATTTGAAAAAAGAACGAATTCTATTGAACGAAATTTTAAATATTCAATAAATGTTCGCATATGGATCGATTTGCCATTCCCAAAATAATCAAACACTATACAAAACTATAGTCGAAACTATAAAGTAAATTAAAAGTATTAAAAAAATAGTGAAAAAATTTTATTAAATATAGTTCATGAAATAAAGACGTTATGTACAATTGAAGCATTCACTAATAACATCAAATAGGATTTTAAAGAATTGTTGTCAAAAGAGAAATTTTACGTTGGAAGTCGCCTAAAAAACTATATCTATAAATTGCTCTTTATCATTTTTTTTAAATATGTAAATAAAATATAAGCATTTTGAAGGCAAAGAAAGTATATGTTATAGTTGTGTTTTACATGATCTTTTTACAAAAATCTATAATTTTTAATATTTTCAAAATTCAAATGAAGCATGATTTCTGATATGTAGATCACAATTAATCCTCACTTTCTCTTTGATATCTTCGGCAAGCTTGATTCCTCTCTTCGGCATCGAAGTACCACAGAGTGATCGCATATCTGGTTTTGTATGCCGGTTGTACTTCGTGCGGATTTCTCCTATCGGACCAGAAGAAAAGTATTCTGTCGAAGAGAGGTTCAATGTCGGCTACTTGATCGCGCCAGCCTTCTGGAAATATCCTCAGGAGACCGCCGTTTCTCTATAATTATATATTATAAACGGTAATAAGTGCTTTTGATACTTGAATTGCAAATCATGATAATGATTCTACTATTGAAATATTCGTATGTACATTGACGGCTAAAATAGTTGTCCACCACACTCCAACCAACCAACAGTCCCGGCGTTTCGAATGGCTGAAGTGGGTTGAACACAACTACTTCGGCCTTTAATTGCATTCTAAAAATTGCTTGAAATTCTGAAACAGGATTTACACAAGAAGAACGACTTCGTCACGAATAAAATGCTGATGTTTACAGACTCCTGTAACTGCAACGCGAATATTAGTAGAATTTGTATGTAATGCTAGAAACTAATTTGATAATTAGGCTAAGGAATTCGACTAATCAATCAGTTTTTAGTTAGACGTAACCAATCAAAACTATGAAACAGTAAACTAGAAAGATACTTCTGGCCCCTGTGCCGTACTACTAGACATCAAGTCATCTCCAAAGTGTATTGTTGGTATCCCTAATATTTAACGACAGTTTATAGAAGACGGAAGGACAAGACATTTTCAAGGATTTTCTGAGATTTAGTCAAGGATTTTTATGTTACAACGTGAAGGTACTTAAACGCTGACAGACTTTCCCTTAAGGTCACAAACCTCTTCACCCTCGCATTTTCCCAGGCCACTGTTCCTACTTTTTACACCAAACATTCGTTTGACTTTTAGATAACATTCCCATAGCCGTCCAAGTTACGATTACATTGTAGACGTTTTCCATTTTAAGAAGGATATTTTGAATGTTGAAAGTAGTTGAATCAGTACACCAACAAACAGAAATACTAAATTTATATTTTTTCAAATTCGATGTAAATCTGTGAATCACACGACATTTGATCTAAGTTTTTGATAAAATATAACTTCTAAGCTCTTTATATGTTTCTCTTTGTTTAATATAAAATTCTAATGATAATATATGATCAGTGACCAGCAAACATAACATACGATAACATGGAGCACGATAAATGTACGCAATTCGGTGAAGTTTAATTCAACAGTTATTTTTTTACAGTTTCCTATGAAGTTATTTTTCGTGCTTATGAATTTTACTTTGTATTTGTACCAAAAAATATGGCCTCTTGAACGTATTAAAAAATCCTGTTCATGTCATAAATGCAAAATGTACCTAATTTCTGAAACTATCATTTTCATAGTCATAAAAACGAAGCTTTGTACAGATCAATGGGCAAAATTTTAGCTGTACTATGGTGACATCACAGTTAAAATGAAAAGCAAGACGAAAGGTTTCGTCTCGGGGACATACTTTGAACATATCAAGATGAGTCACGAGAAACAGACCGTCTAAGTATCCTTGTTGAGTTCGAAACTAGAAAAAAAGTTCAAAAGCTGTACTCTTCGAAGAACTAAATATGGCGACAAAGGAGAACTTCTTGTTTGATTTTATGTTCGAGGTTATTTCAAGGTTATTCGTAACTTTTTATAAATGGCACCATATGTACTTCACCTTTTGCACCCGACAATGTTTTTTATTATAAATATTCATTATTTTCTAATGAAATATCGATAATATTAAATAATTTAATCGGTAACTGCAACTGACGTAAAAGAAATCTTGTGTAAATTAAGAGAATTATTTTATTTCTATGTCTCAAACGTTGATGTATAAAACAAAACATTAAATTTTAAATTTTATAATGTTGCTACGCTGAGTCAAATGGTGATTGTGAGTCGCCTCTCAAGTGCAAAAGGTTAAGTGAATAATATTGTAGTTGATATCAAAGGAATATCAATTCCACAAAGCTTTATGTTTAATTATTATATAAGACGATATTTAATAAATATAATATTTCCACTATTTAAAAGAAAATAGTCAGCAAGTGGTACATAATTTCATTGTGTGTTTTTTCCGTCATTTTCCTAAACATAGATGCTCTGCTTATGAAGATAGGATGTATACTTTTCGTGTAGTGAATGTAAATATTGCTCAACTGGGACTTCCGGTGCATGTACAACATAGAGGTGCGTTACATGATGCAGCTCACGTAGGCCCTAAACGCCCTTCATGCTCTGTTTGGCTTTTTCGGGTACCGTGACCCTTTGAAATGCAAACATTTATGAGAATTTGATTATACGCAGGGTATGTCACAAATAGAATTTCTTAACAGTTGCTGACTTAAATTAACTCACAATTATATGAATACAATTTAATGTAATTTTCATTTATTCATATTTTGTAGACATAGGTGAAAACATTTTTTAAATTGGACATCAAAATTAATCTTTAGAGTAAAATATTGGCTGAAATAAACTTGACTACGATTCATATAAATTAAAGAGATGAAAAAAGAATTAATTCATAATAAATCTTTTCTTATACAATCTCAATTCAGTTAAGAGATAATTAACAAACATTACAATGAAAAGTTTACTCATGTAAGCAGTGACACGTTGTATATTTATGTTTAAACAGATTGCTTTTAACAATGATTAGTTTTAAAAAATTTTATGAAATAAAGGAGATTAGAGATGAATACAGTACACATGATACACAAGGACGGGGAACGATGACAGCACTTCAAGTCGGAGACATTACAACTACCACAAGACCCTTATCAGAACATTATCACGTAGAAATTATTTATGAGGAACTTTCACAAAGAATCCCCGTCGCACTAGTCACACTAATTAAGAAATTACTGATTAAGACTACGAAAGGAGAATAGATTTTTCGTTTACAGAACAAAAAGAATTTTATATACATATATTATTTACAATACAAAAACCAGAATGTGAACAATTTGAAGAATCGAATTTTTCACAAATATAAATGAAAATGAAAAATTCATTTTCTAATACAGTTTCTACGAAAAATTACCAACGAAACAGATAATTGAAACGTACCTTGATATCCCAATCTCGGTTGAGATAGTATATTGCAGTGATGCATCGTCCATCCCGATTAGGATTGTCCACATGTTTCACGTAATGCGAACCGTGACCAGGATAACAAGCTACCATCGCCTGTAAAATATGCATTACGTTCGGTAAAACGAGGAATCTAAATAATCTTGCGACGCCATTCGCGGTCGTGCTATCAGATAATTTATCAGAGATGCAGAACGCTCACTCTGACGTGTCCTTTAACACTAGAACCACTGTACCCGTAAAAATGGCGGATTTTAGTTCTCTTATTTTGCAGTTATTGATATTTGAAAAGTATTCAATATCCGAAATGATATTGAAAATAAATAGTTTCATCTAAACACTATAACGAAAATCTGAAGAAATCGTAATATAACACATATTGTTACAATGTTTATAAGGATTACATATCAACCTTAATAAATATTGGGTAATTTTAGTGTTAAATAAGAAGCTCGGTTCACCGGCGTTGAAAATGTGAATTAAGGATTTGGAACAAAACTACAGAGTTTGATTAATAAATTAGTTTATTTGATAAGACTGAAGAATAATGAATAAAGTTGATTAAAGTAATTATTTTTGGTTGGAAACTAAGGTAATTTGCAATTAATCCACTATTTTAATTGGAATACGAGGGAATCTGGTGATTATAAAGGCTTTGGTGAGAGCAACACGCTTTGTGTTCTTCTGTATTTTAACTTTAATTGTGTAGGCTCCGGTCTTAAGCGACTAACGGTTCGAGAAGCAAAACGTTGAGGTAAATCTAAAACATGATGTCTCTCGAGTCTTCGCTCAAGTACGCTCTGGTCTAAAAGTTTGTTGGCGTTGGTATTCGAATGAGTTCCCAATTATGTAATTATGAAATTAAGGATATTTATGCGATTATCAACTTTTGTGTAGGTATTAATTTAGGGGAACTGTAACTAGGGAAAACTATGTGCTTTGATAATAACGTTATTCATTAAGATTAAATCCAGTACTCGTTAAACATTATCAAATTTTCAATTATTAGATTTCTGTCAACTACTTGGTCTGTCAGTAACTAAGAAGAGTGCAGTGAAAACTAGAAAGTAAAACCTTGAATTTACAATAGCCCAAGATTACAAATAATGATGAAAATACTAAAAAGTATTGAGAACGTAATAAAAGGCTCAATAAGTTCCCTTTTTAATGATACATTAGAATTTCCATGCGGCGTCTGATCCTAAAGAAAGTTGCCTTTCATCGGACCAAATGCAGCAACTTACTAGTGAAAGTGAAAATCGATTTCGGAGCATTCTCTTCACAATGTGGAAGGAATTCGTAATATAAACATCTTAATTTATTATTTCCTTCCAATAATTAATATAATTAGCACTTGAATCCGATCAAGATTCAATCTCAATTAAAATTATTTATACATTTATATTACATATTATCAATATTTCAGTGTTTCATAACGAATCGTCTGTTTAATTATACTTCGACCTTTGTGACACTTATTTCACACTTATCCAAAAGAAAAAGTATGTTGTTGTCAATAGAGTTGAAGTACCAATTGATGAATACGGAGGACTCGTAATAGAAAGTTTCCTGTTTCTATGCATACGTGATGCACCTCACGAAGGGTAGTAACGTGCCTCAAGTTTCATTAAGCATGACTCTGCGCACGTAGTGTACGTGGTTTCATGAAGTACGTGAAACTATACTATACAGAAATGGCCCCTGTAACGGACTCAGAAAAGAGCGAACCAATAATGAATAAAAGTACATCTGAAATCTGTTATAACAGCTTACAATAAAATAAGAAAGTATAACACGCTTTTTGTTGACTTTATTGACATATTAATATCTAAAATTCGTCCACAGTACCCACCATTGTTCACATATTAGGCAGAATACAATGAGTTAGACGTTTCCCTAAATTCATGCAAAATCTAAAAACACTACGAGTTAATGTGCTTATTACACAGATTCCATTTCTTTATTTTAACTTTCTTATTACAGTTAAATTGAATAAGAAATGATCAGTGGAAAAAAACAAAGTGAATAAATTACAATTAAAAACGATATGTATATTTTACGATAAACCCAGAAATACTTTTGTTACTAGAACCCACCTCAGAATCCATACATTTTGGAATACCATTTATACTCTAGATTTATAAAAATTCAGAGATGAAAACAACGATCGATTTCATCGCATTAAATTTGTATAGTTACATGAATCAAGTCACTTTAACCATTTGCACTCAAAAGCATTTCATTAAAAATATTCAATACTCTCCGATGAGATATAGACAAGATTTTATCAAACTAACTTATCCAAAAATTACACATAAGTTAAAGAACAAAGCAATTTTATTTCAATATTTCAAATATGGATGCATTACACAAAGCTTAATATTAAATACTAAACTTGATAATTCTACTGTATCAAATCATATAGCAACTAAGGGTGCAAAGGGTTAACAAAACGATATTTAGACTCAAAATGACTTTCCAATACGCACGATAACTAAGATGGCGCGGCGTAAGATTTTGAAAAACCATAATAGATATCAGATGTTATAGGTTTTCTATTCTTTAACACTAAAACTACTGTACCAGTCAAAATGACTAATTTCGGTTTTCTTGTTTCGTAATTATTGATATCTTAAAACCATTGAATATTCGAAATAATTTTGAAAATATACAGTTTCACTTGAATACTATGATGAATGTCTGAAGAAACTGAAAATAATCTGTTGCTACAATTTTCATAGGGATTACATACGAATGATATTAACCCCTTGTCATATGGTTTATTTTTCAACTGTGATCGATACAACAACTTTGTCAGTAATAATTTATTGAAAGGAGAGAAAAAATCTATGAATGTTTATGTCTACGTTTGCCCTGCAATATAGTATTAATTGATAACAAAAGAATAACATTTAATTTGAACCCAAAGGGATTGAGTAATATTTATGTTTGTTAGATTGTACATTATACAGTGTTAAATTGAACTTATTAAGGAATAAAGAATATTTGGCAGTTGACGAGTGGATTAAATACGATAAATTGAAATCCGGATACAATTGCAGTGGGCATGAATCAGTGAAAACGGTCACGCAACAGAGATCTCCGAATGCGCACGCGTGCGCCAAAAGGGCTGTGTTACTCGTTAAGGTCTCTGGAGGGAGGAGTAGAAATGGGGATCACTTTGTATCCTTGACCTAAATGGGGGGTTAACCTTGGTACTACATTCGTTTGCGTGTAAATTCTCACGTAATCCACGGAACAGACGTTGTCCAGACATCTTTTTTCGCTTTGGGAATTGGAAATGGTAATATGTTCATAAAGGAGGCGTTCTTAAGATTCAACTTTCAAATGCCACGCGGAGCAACAAACTCTTAATCTGATGAACCCTGACTACCTCTCATATTTTTCCTATCGATTACTTTGGGTTCCAGTTACGATAAGAGTTATACGCTGAGCAGCAAGCTAAATCCTTTTTAAAAGCAGATTCAGCAATTATAGTTAAAGGATTGTATAGTCTTATAAATGTATTTATGAAAATATATTTGTTTAATTTTGTTTTTGTCACATAATACGTGCTATGTTGTAATATCAACGTTGAAACGGACTGAATTAACAATATTTTGATCATTTAAGTACAATTTACTGGAATCATCCAATGGACTGATTATTCAAATTACGTCATCTAAATACATTTGGATTTATTTTGTAGACTAAGAAGTATTTATCAGAAAACTTTACATGTAAAAAGGATATTTTATTTTTTCCAATAGAATCAAAAACAGAAGAAGAATTTTTCTAAAACTGTTGTATTTAAAAAATGTTGATACTGCAGACTAGAGGTATCATTTTATAAAAAAATCTAGTAACAGAAAACAGAAGAATACTAGAAGTTTAGTAATATAGTAATTATTAATTATATAAGATAGAAACATAGATAGTTAAGGAAAAAAAAAGTTACAGAAATGTAAAATGTTCTCCTTGATCATTTTGTTTGAAGGTTGGCAAACATAAGCTGTTAGAACAGAAAACACTTTTTGGAATCAAGATCAAATAGAACATACATTCACACATACCTACTTATTTGTTTTTAGGCTCTAAATCCATCATTGAGGCACATATCGCGGGACATACTGTATATACAGTTGCACAAGTAGAGTCAAAGAATTTGGAGATATATTATGTACGTTAAAAATTTGTCATATAAAATTTTTTTCTGATGGAACTTCATTCTTAAAATGTATCAACATATTTTCCATAAAATCCTTCTGTATGTTTCTAATTTCTATATATTAAGTATAATATATACAGTATAAAAGTAATTCTATTTCATTTCATTTGTTGTTTATTATCAAATTTCAATAAACGAAATTTAACTCACCGCAACTAATGACATCCAAACTACAGTTCAAATACGTTTCACAAGAATTAAATTCATTTTTCATTTTTATTAACACCACATAGCCAATATCGAAATCTATACTATCATCCTACTGTCAGTACCGAAATGGAGTAAGCAGAGATAGCTACTGTGCTCATGTACTCATGGTTATCGAGTACTTAAAAGATTTGGCAGATACGTGAATTACGATTCAATATCAGTCGAATTTTTATATTAGCATTTAAATAAAATTGACAACTAAATATAACCAAGTCGACACATTTAGCACCGTGTATAAATTTTATGATATAATATGTATTGTATAATTTAATATAGATGTTACATAAAATTTTGTTAAATAAAATCTATCTTCTATCTGGAATATTACAAAAAATAAAAGGTTTAGTTACAAAATAAAAGTAAACCAGTCAGCAACAAAAAGAAAGGCAACAATTGAACTAATTAATCACACAGGATATAATATAAAGTTAAATGAAAGAAAGAAAACGCAGAATTTCAAATCCAATTTTAAGACCGGTCATTTGACCGGCCACGGTACGTTTAGTGTTAAACAAACTCGAGACATTAATGTATCCTAACTCTAAACATTTGCAAACATATGTAATTTCCAGCATTCTCCTTAAACCGTATCTTGAATTACTGAAAAAAATACATTCTAAACAAGATACCAGCGCTACCTGTTCTTTAGCAGCGTTAC